TTAAACACGAGTTCCATGAGGTTTGGGAGGGTCTTAATCTGACCTGCTGTGATAAGAAGAAATTTAGATACTAGGGGGTTTAACAATTGCTTGCCCCAGATCTCTTTCCCAGGACCCAATTATCCAGCGGCCCCTTCCCCCATCGCCTCAACCTCCAGGACCACATTCCACATCTCCCATCTTGGGAGATGTAATTTCTCCCTACGCCGAGGCCTTCTCCATCACCTTCCTTCCATCCACCTGTCTTCCACACCTGCCGCTCATGTTTGACCCTGGCGCCTCTCCAGGTGGTGGCGGTAGCGGCCCGTGACCTGAGCCGGGCGGAGGAGTTTGCGCGGAAACACGACATCCCAAAGGCCTATGGCTCCTATGAGGAGCTGGCCAAGGACCCGAACGTGGGTGAGTGGCCCAAGGGCTGCGGGGTGGGGGGGCACTGGGGCGCTGCCTCCTGGATGCTGCCTAGGAGATACAAGGCTCCCCGGGGATGAGCCAATCCCTCTGGGCCCTGGAAGGACTCTGAGCTGGGAGGCGGAGCTGTAGGAACCGGTTAGGTCTGAAATTAACTGGCGTGAAATTGTGATTAGGGGCCACACCTCCGCGGTAAAGGCAGGGTTTGAATTTCTGAGAGAGGCCTTCCAGGCTTTAAAAATAACCCTGTGGCCTGGGCTTCTGCGTTCTGGAATTGCCTGGATGAAGAGACAGGACAATGTGGTTGGACAACAGCCCGGCGCTGGAGTCAGGGTGCCTGAATTGGCATTTTCCTCTTTTGCTTGCCCTTCTCAGTTTCCTCATTTGTAAAACGGGCGAAAGAATAATCTCTACTTCCTGGTGGACTTGTGAGGTTTAAGTAATTTAATACGATAATTTCACAAGGCTGGAAATAATCTGAAGGAAATAGAGTGATGATAGAGAACCGGTAGCTCCGCCCTAATGGGAGGCTAGGGTTTGACTCCTGTGGTGGGACTTCGTCCTGGGATGTTGGGGGCGGGGCCTCTATATTATGGGCGGTCCCGGAGGACTCGGTGGGCAGGTCTGATCTCTTGACTTTCCTCTGACCCTAGAGGTGGCCTACATTGGCACTCAGCACCCCCAGCACAAGCCAACGGTGTTGCTTTGCCTGGCGGCGGGCAAAGCCGTGCTGTGCGAGAAGCCCATGGGCGTGAACGCCGCGGAAGTGCGCGAAATGATTGCAGAGGCCCGATCCCGAGGCCTCTTCCTTATGGAGGTGAGGGCGGAGGGGGTCCTTCCAACATCCATCGCAGCACTACTTGCCGTTATTAAACATGGTGGCCGGTGGACATTTTTGGAGGAACATAAGGGGGATGGGATTTCCAAGAGTTAAGATGGCCACAAAATGAACCCAGGTCTTCGGGTTTGTCAGGAGGTAGTTGAGCTATGCCATGGAAATTACTGGCAACATCTCCCATAGCTGGAAGCCACTGCTTTGGGCTCTTAGCAAACATGGACGCCTGAAAGATCCTTTGTCAGCCTTTCAGAAGAAGATGCCAGTAAGTGAAAGTGGCCCAAAATAGCAATGGGCTTAGTTTGGGCGGATTTCCAGTGATAGAGGTCAGAAGTACCAAGGAACCCCTACCAACCCTCGATGTCAAGCTGCCTTTGTTTTTGCCCTTATCAGACTTGCCTACCTACAGGGGTCTTTGTTTTCGCACAGATTGCCAGTAATTAAAATGGCCACCAAACAGCAATGGATAGTGCCAGCAGTAAAGATGGCCACCAGATGACCCCTGGAAGCTATTTTCATGTTAAGGAGCATTATGGTTTTTAAATACTTTGCTGTAGGTTCTGCCAGTAGTCGCTATAGCTGCCTCTTAACTTCCCCATGTCCTTGCCAGGTATCATATGCCCAGCATTGCTGAGCTTCCCAGTCTGCAAAAGTCTATGTGCCCAACAAGTAGTCAAGATTCATTATGTTACTCAGCGCCTTCTGGTGCTCACTGTGTCCTGTCAGTGCCAAAATTCTGTGAGTTTATCACTCCCTTATTTTTATTGGCACCTAACATGTGCCAGATCCAACCCTAGGAACTTGGGACTCATAATGTTTAAGACTCTCTTTTCCAGGAGCTCAAGGTCCGTTATGATCATGGAAATGGGCAATCTCTATGCCCAGTTGCATGGACTTCATGGACATAGGACTGAGCAGTTGATGGAGCACAGAGGCCCTGGCTCAGCCTGGGTGATGGTCAAGGAGGTTTCCTGTCGGTAGGGACTGACCTACGCCTTAAAGGAAACATCAACTGCCTAGATAAATACGCCAGATGGGGAAAGCAGAGTTAAGACTTAAAGAAAATAAGAATGGGCAGATTTCATGTGTTTAGTATGAAATTTATCTTGGACAGGTCAAGATTTTTGACTTGAGAATCAGAGCACTCTAGACTCCGGTCCTCCAGTTCCTGGCTCTGTGCCTTGGACAGGAAGTCTGATTTAACTGGGCCTCAGTTTTCTCATCTATAAAATGGTCATGATAGCTACATGGGAGGGATGTTGGGAGGACTAATTATACAAAGCCTGTACATACTATCTTGCTCATAACATATGCCAAATACACTGGGGCTGATATTAGGCAAAGGGGAGCATTAGAAGAGTATTGGGCAGGGGTGAGACAGAGTCAGCTCTGGAAGGAAAGCTTCTTCCAGGTCATGTAGGGAATGGACAGGAGCAAGGAGACTGGGTGTGTTAGTGTGCTAGGGCTGCCATAACAAAGTGCCACCACGGATGGAGTGGCTTAAACAACAGAGGTTTATTTTCTCAAACTTCTGGAGGCTAGAAGTCTGAGATCAAGGTGTCAGCAGGGTTGGTTCCTCCTGAGGCTTCTCTGCTTGGCTTATAGATGGCCGTCTTCTCCCTGTGTCTTCACTTGGTCCTCCCTCTGTGAATGTGTCCTAATTTCCCCCTCTTATAAGGATACTAGCCTGACTGGATGAAGACCCACCTCACTGACCTCATTTAAAGTTAATTACCTCTTTAAAAAGCCCATCTCCAAATACACTCACATTGGGAGGTACTGGGGGAGTGGTTAGGACCTCAACATGAACTTGGTGGGGGACGGCACAATTCAGCCCATCACATTGGGAGACTGGTGTAATGGTCCAGATGAGAAAGGACAGGGCCAGATAGGAACGGAGAGGAGAGAAAAGGCCAGAGAGAGTCAGGGACACCACACAACTGGAGGACCAACAGGCTGTGGAAGGAAGAGGGAAGGATCTTGTTTGGAGCAGCGGGTAGATTGGACCCTTGAAGGGAGAGGAACTGGTTGGTTAACTCCTGGGTCTTGACCCTTTGCCTTCCCTTTCCACATCCTGCTTTCTTCCCTCTGTGGTCCACAGGCCATCTGGACCCGCTTCTTTCCTGCCGTAGAGGCTCTGAGATCTGTTTTGGCCCAGGGAACCCTGGGGGACCTTCGAGTGATTCGGGCTGAATTTGGAAAGAATCTCACCAATGTACCCCGGAGCATAGACTGGGCCCAGGCTGGAGGTGGCTTGTTAGACCTTGGCATCTACTGCCTCCAGTTCATCTCCATGGTCTTTGGTGGGCAGAAGCCGGAGAAGATTTCAGCTGTGGGAAGGCACTATGAAACAGGTATGGTCTATCCTGAATGATATAATGGTGATAGGAGTGGTCCTCTCTTCCTGGAAGCACTGCTCTGGGAATAAGTCTCCTAGCCCATGAGAATCAAGTTAGACAGCTGGAGGAACTTGTATGAAGTCAAAAGAGGATCAGAGTTAAGAGGGTGGGCAGGCTTCATGCTGGGACCTTGCTGTGTGATGTTAGCCAAAGGACACAACATCTTTGAGTCTTAATTAGTTCCTGGTAAAATGTCACAAATAGGGTTGTCAGAAGGTGTTAATGAAATAACTATTGAGGCAAATTGTAAGCAGTTACTAAATATAAATGACTGTTAATTTTTCAATTTGTCTCCATTAGCCTTTGCTGCATAACAAACTACCCTAGAACGTAATGACCTCCAGTAATGATCATTTATTAGTTTGCGATTCTGTGGATTGGCAGTTCGGGCTGCGCTCAGCTTAGGTGGTTCTTCTGCTGGTCTTCGTCGTGCAGCTGCACTCAGCTGGCTGTTTCACTGGCGCTGGATGGTCTAGGATGGCTTCACTATGTCTTACAGGTGTTGGCTACTGTGTGGAGAGTCTTGGTTCTCTTCCACATGGCCTCTCCAGCTGGCTAGCTCAGGCTCATTCACATTGTGGGCTCAGAGTTGCAGGCGTAGCAAAAACACCCCAATGTGCAAGCACTTCTCAAACTTTGGCTTGTATCATATTTACTACTGTTCCATGGCCCAAAGTCAGCTCAGATTTTGAGGAGGGCAAATAGATTATTACCTCTTAGAAGGATGGAAGGAGTACCTGCAAAGGGGCATTCATAGAGGAATGAGAGGAATTCCTGTGGCCAGCGTTGCAAGCAGTACCACAGAAGGCAATGAACAACCAGGAAAATAATACTTGCTCTTTAGAAAAACTGTCTCAGTCTAGCATCTGGCCAATTCCTAGGCTAAATAGTAGCTGTAACAACAGATCCCACTTTTCAAGTGCTACCTCGACACTAGGGTTATTATACAAATGATCTTTCTGATCTATGAAGGTTGTCCCCATTTTACAGATGAGGAAACTTAGGTGCAGGGAGGGGCAGTGACTTACCCAGGCTCACACAGCAGATCCAGGATAAGAACTTGAACTTGCCCGAAATCAAAGAGAACTAGGTCAGTAAATTCCTCCATCTGTGACCTGCCTGATGTGTTCCAAGACCAGGCTAGTACTTTACTTGCTGTATGTAATTTAATTTTTTAAGAGTTTTTGTTGGTGTTTTGATTTTTTATGGAAGTTCTGGGAATTGAACCCAGGACCTCGTGCATGCTAAGCATGCGCTCTACCACTGAGCTATATCCCCCACCCCCAATGTAATTTTTAACTGATGCATATATATCACTTATTGTAATCTAAATAGCCTTCTAAGTGCTTTTGGACATTTTATCTCATTTAATGTAATAATTTGTAACGGCCCTATGAGACAGGTTCCATGAATATCCCCATTTTAGATATGAGGAAACTTGAGTCTCACAAACCTGCACAACAGATATTTACAGAAGAGGAAACTGAGGCTCAGAGAGGTGAAGTCTCTTTTTTTTTTTTTTAGCATATTTTTGTTTATTTATTTATTTATTTATTTTGATAATAGCCTTACTGAGATATGTCACATGCCATACAATTTATTCCTTTAAAGTGTCTAATTCTGTGGCTTTAGTCTAGTCACAGTTATACATTTATCAGCATAATCAATTTTAGAATATTTTCATTACTCAAAAAAAAAAAAATAACCCACACCCAATTCTCCTATCGCCCTGGGCCCTAAACAAGCACAAATCTACTTTCTGGCTCTATGGGTTTGCAAACAGCAGACATTTCACACAAATGGCCTCTCCTACACTGTGGGACCACTCATGTCTGGCTTTTTTGATTTAGTGTAAGTGTTTTCAGGGCTCACCTGTGTGGGAGCACACATCACTGCTTCGGTCTCTTTCATTGCCATGTTAGCGATGAGATCTCTTACCCAGGGTACCACGGGCAAGATTTGAGGCCATGCTTGCCCCTGTCCTGTGTCCTTCCTCCAGGTGTGGACGACACTGTCAGTGTGCTACTCCAGTACCCAGGAGGGGTCCACGGCAGCTTCACCTGCAGCATCACTGCCCCGCTCTCCAATATGGTCTCTGTGAGCGGTACCAAGGGCTTGGCCCAGGTAAGGCACGATCGGCCGGGCTGGGATGGGCCCAAGTCCCAGGAACCATGGCCCTTAGCAAGAGGGGTAGGCCAGTTGTGGCTTCTGGAGCTGGATATGGACTGAACCAGCCTTTTCCCACACCACTGCTAAGGGATCCATCCTTATCACCAGGTCATGGGATGGGGTCTGGATCTCCAGGCTCTATCCTGAGGGTGAACCCATTGGTCTTTCAAAAGTCCTTAGGCCCAAGTTGAAACCACCCTCAGAGAGCAGCTGTAACCTCTGGAATTGCTTTTAGGACAGGATACGGGCATTATCAAAGCTTCGTTGGGCTTCCTGGAGCCCTGTTGCTAAAAAGAAATTCTATTCTCAGCAGAAGAATTTGGATCTTGCCCCAATCTTGGACTGTAGAATTTGGACCTTGACCCAGCTGCACCTCTGTTTCCATTTTCACTTAGACTTAGATATTGAATTAATTTAGGCTTCCCAGGGCTCTTTGGCAAACAAAGAAAAAAAAAGTCTCCTAATGGACAGGATGGTACTGGGTTGTCTAAGCCTCTTCCTTGCAAAAGGGATTTGATCATTAAAAAGCTAAAGATCTAA